CCCCAAAACCCCAAAACCCCAAAACCCCATGAGAGTAATACGAGGTATAATATAAGATTGATAAATTTAAATTCAAATTTTAATGAGTGAAGATTACCAATTACTTAATCCAGGCAGGACATTCAGCATGCATTCCTAATAGTCCTATACAATACCTGACTACACTGCTGTCACAACTGAAGTTACTGATTAACCTCATCCAAGATCTCACAGATAAATGAGTCAAAGAGATGTTAATATTAATCACATGAGAAGTGCCTCATCTCTGCATTAGACTCCAAATAGCTTTAATAGAACAACTAGAACCCCTCTGAATAGAAGAGATGCAAGTGCCCACAGTTCCATAAAAAAGACTCTGCTTACAGAAACCATCAATAAGAAGTAACTATCTAACCTTTAAAATTACTTAAATTTAGGGAGGAAGATTTGCTTAAAAGATTGACAGACCTTCAATCATTAGGAACAAATCAAGCGTTAAAGAATAAAAATGAACCGCATCACTAATCAGCAAGCTAACTTTCCTCTACCCCTGATAACCAAAAATAGCTTAATTCAGATGGACCTAGTCATTCATTACTCAATTCTTATTAAGGATTGATTGATGCATAGAGGGATGTCAACGACGAATTATTAAAATCAGGAAGTTCTAGAGCTTCTTAAAGCAATTAGTATCGAGATTTAGAAATAGAACATAAAATCAAAGACGAGGATAGAAACTTTCTGGAAAGAATGAAAAATAGATTCCTCACAAGTAATGCTGAGCAAAACTCGAACTAAAATTCTGCTTAAAAAGAGCTAATAAAGTCTTAATCCTCTCCTGTTCTCAGTAACTAAGCTTTTCAATAAAATGTGTTAAACTTGGTGTAACCGACTAAACTAGATTATGGCTTGTATCATGTACCACCTACTATGAATATGCAAACTATGCCATCTGAGAATCCGTCCTAAAATTAAAGTAGAATTTCAATAGAATCGAGCACACTCATATCTTATAAATAGTAGCCAGTTACTCTAAATAAAGAAGAAGACTATATGGGATAAATTAATAGATAGAAGCCACCCACTCATATTTAAGCCCGAAATCAGTTTTACTAATATAAAGTCCCAGAGCCTAAGAGCGATCTAGAACTCCTAGAGGAAATAAGATAAAATGAAAGAATGTTTGAGGAGATGGAAAATCAGATAGACCTAAATAAGAATAGGAATAGTAATAATAATATGATGCCTCCCCCTATTCCTATTGATGAATCTACTCGAAAGAAGAAAGTAAAAAGGGGTTCTAAGTAAAAGATCATCAAAGGTTCAGAAGATGAAATGCGAAGATCAAGCTAAGTTAGGTCTCCCAGACAGAGTTAACCGCTTTCACCATAGTAGAGAGGATATACCTATGATCAGTAACCTTATCTTGTTAATTAATAATAACATAATGTAATTCTTGATGGCAGATAGCTGTTATAACAAAGGAAAAGATGGTAATAGGATGACAGATAGTAAGATAAAATACTCTATAACTTAAATGATGATAATAAATAAGTCTGGTCTAGAATCAATGAGCTTTTAAATAAATTACAGGTTTAGCAGATAGAATTTACCAACAAAGACTAACAGGTATGAAAAATTCCATATTTTAAATTAATTTAGTGTGGACCTGAAGAACAAAGCATAATCTAGGTGCTCTTCTCGCTGACTAGATAAGTTTAGTCTCTCTAGAAAAAAGTTGACTCTGGCGACTATGAGGAAACCTAGAGACTATAAAGAGAGCTCAATTTAGAAAAAGATGTAGTACTCAAAAATGAACAAAAGATATATGTAAGTTCATAATGTTCTTACAATTGAAATTATTAGAAACTAGAGCAGTTTATTGAAAATTTAAAACATCATGAGAAAAAAGAAATAGTTGACACTTAGAATCAATCAAAAGTTCTTGAGAAGCAAATTAAAGATATAAAAAATAAAATGATGGTGAGTGAAAATCTAGTCTCCAAGAAGTAAATGGAGATAGAGCTTTTAAAGTAAAAACTAGAGAAGAAGATGCATGAGGATGATAAATACTTAATTAGAGATAGAAATATTTTTGAAAAGCATTTCGGGAGACAACCCAGACCAGCAGAGGAGAAAGTAATATTGTTAATAAGCTCTTATAACAAATTTAGTATGTCAATTTCCTGAAGGCTTATGATATACAAAGAGAGAAACTCGAGAAATAGGTTGAACTACTTGAGAGAGAGGTTGATAGGTTGAATGCTTAGAATCTTGAATTGCAAAATGAAAACTATGCACTTTCAAAAGGATAAATTCCTGCAGAAGAGGCGCACTATTTTAAAAAAGGAGATGGAGGACTTACAATCAAAATTCGTGAGCTTGAAAATGAAAATTAACAACTATAAAAGGCTCTGAAATAAAATGCAAATGATTTCAAAGATCTATTAAAAGAAATAGACTAGTAGAAGAAAAGCAATATTGAAAGAGATCAATAGATGGAAGCGATGGAGCAGGAAATGAAAATTAGGCCTAATCTCTCAAGCATGAAGGCAACATAAATGAAAATGTAGGAAATGGAGCAAGAGATTAAATCGCTCCAGAAATAAAATGACGAACTAAATAACGAAATCATGATTTTTAGAAATAACTCAGTAAGCAAACTTTAAATGTTTATTATCTTTTAGGGAACTCATATTAACTAAAAATCACAGTAAAAAAACGAGTAAATAAAAGGTGGGCTTCTGATTAAAAATAATTAAGGGTCATTTATGAGTGCAGGCGATGCAAGAATGATTATAGAGGAAATCTAAGAAATATTAAAGCTAGAAACTGAAGATCCCGGCTAGATAATAGAGACGATCAGAAAACTAGAGAAGGTAGTCAAAGCAGTACCAAGAATGGAGAATTTCATTTAAAATATTTGCAAGCAAATGAGTGAGGATCCTAATAGGCCAACACCTATTGAATAAATAATACCTTAGATATAATATCTTAGAGATATAGCTATCAATCAAGCTGGTCCACTTTAGCAGTTCAAGCGAGATCTAATCTATTTGCTATTCCAAAGAGACAATATAAATATGTAGAACCAAGATTTAATTATGGAGATTGAGAGATTAATTATTGAAAAAGAGCAAATGAAGCAACAATCTGTTGTTGAAACAGAGAGTCAGAGAGCCTTTAAATACATTTTGGAGCTATTTGAGTCAAAGGATTCAACATAGCTACTTGATAAAGTTAATCAGACTTTTGTTTATGTGAATGAATTTAATACCTTTATGAGGATTATTAGAGGCATACTCCAGATGGACAACTCTATCACTGTAACTACCTGCCTTAATGCGGTTAGAAATATTGTCATCGGCTATACTTAGGGCTAAATTATGAGATAATAATGATTATTCACTATTAACAAGGAATGATAGCTGATTAACAAATTATAAGCTTTTGCTTAATACGATTTTAATGATATTTCTTGTAAATTTAGATTCAAGGGGTTTTGGGGTTTTGGGGTTTTGGGG